CCTTGGTTTGGGAGCTCCAAGCAGGGGTTGGGAGTGAAGGGCTCATGCTCAGGGCATGTCTCAAGTTTAAAGTAAGGCAATATATCCAGATGGGTTTATATACAGGCACTATATCATCAGAATTATGTTAAAAGCTTTAATTTAGTAAGTGTCACCATTTAAATTATGCTACAACTTTTGTAACTCTTTTTGGCAATTCTTTTTTATTGTTACTATAAACAAAGCAACAACAAACCAAGAAAATACAGAAAGAAAGAACAAAGTAGCCCAGGCCACTGACAGCCTCCGTGAGGCCAGATGTTTCAGTGGGGTGGTGTGTATGAAATGAGTTTGATTTCTTAAAATAACTGTGCTTATTCTATGAACCTTCTATTTAAAAAGGCAGCACCCAAGAAAACATAAATGTATATTATTAAGAGAAAGAAGTCAAACTGAAAAGGCTACATACTGTATGATTCCAACCCTGTGACATTCTGGAAAAGGTGAGACAACGGAGACCAGGCCACTGACAGCCACAGTAAAAAGATCTGTGGCTGCCTGGGGCTGGGAAGAGAGGGAGGAACAGGCGGAGCACAGAGGACCTGAGGGCAGTGAAACTGCTCTGAATGACACCACAGGGATGGAGACATGTCATTCTCCATCTGTTCCAACCCAGAGAGCGTACCACACCACGGTGACCCCTCAGGTAAGCTGTGGACTTCCGCAGATGATGATGTGCCAATGCAGGGTCACCAGCTGTCACAGATGTGCACTCTGGTGACACTTTTGCCTGCGGTCAGTAACCAGCTGCAAAAAGCCAGCTGTGAGCCGCCATGTGCCCTGCCCCAGAGAAACAGACAAAATCTACAAAGGCTCCTCCTACAACATGCCAGGTCCCTACCTCATTACACTCCTGTGACGTCCACCAGGCCATATTCCTGCCCAGGCGCACAGAACTTCTAATCCCCTCTTCAGACCCACTCCTAAAAATGAACCATGAGCCCTAGCTGGTTTGGCTCAGTGGATAGAGCGTCTGCCTGCGGACTGAAGGGTCCCAGGTTCAATTCCGGCCAAGGGCACATGCCTGGGTTGCAGGCTCGATCCCCAGTGGGGGGCATGTAGGAGGCAGCCAATCAGTGATTCTCTCTTATCATTGATGTTTCTATCTCTCTCTCCTTCTTCCTTCCTCTCTGAAATCAATAAAGAAATATATTATAAAAAAAAAAATGAACCATGAGCCAGCTATCACTAGACATTTGAGAAAACCTCCAATAACAAAAGAGAGCAAAACAAACAGAAGAAGGAACCCAGAATAAACAAACAGTGATGGAGAAAAAAAAGCAACACAATGACCTTGTACGCATATATGTATAATCCATGGACACAGACAATAGGGTGGTGAAGCCCTGGGGGTGGGGGCGGGAGAGGGCTGGGAGAGGTCAATGGGGGAAAAGGGGATATTTGTAATACTTTCAACAATAAAGATTTTTTTAAAAAAGAAAAGAAAAAGCAATACACAAAGAATGGAGATAGATTCTGCACTCATGAAATAAATGCTGGATACTGGATGTTAAAAATTAAAACAATTCCTAGGATAAGCACAACTTCTCAGAAATTAAAAATAACTAGCAGAAGTTAAAAGTTCAGTAGGAAATCTAAAAGATATAAGTTGAGGACACTACAGAAAGTAGAAGAAAAAGACAAACAAAAAATAAGATTGACTGAAAGAAGAAGGAAAAATCAGAACACTTATCCATGAAATAATATAAGAAAACTTCTCAGAAATCCTGATTTGAAGCGGCCCGCCTATACCCAGCACAGAGTGAAAAAAGAACCACACCAGAACATAGGGTTGTAAAATCTCAAAGCAATCGCCACAGAGAGGAAAATGGTAAAGCTTCTAAAAGAGGGAAAAGGTCATATAAAAGAATTAACAAGCAGGTTAGACATTTCGACAGCAACCCTGGAGGGCAGAAGAGCTCTTGGTAATGCAGCAGTGACATCCAACATCTGAGGGTGAACCGTTCCAGCCCGGGCTGCTTTGCCCAGGCCAACTCCATACAAGTGAGACACATGCAAACACACAGGTCTCCCAACGTTTACCCTCACGTGCCCTTCTCCTCGGGAGGTTACTAGAGGATGAACTGCAGAAGGGAATAAACCTAGAACACTCCTTGAAATGAGTTAACGACCCCACAAGAGCACATCACAGCATCTAGAAAACACAGGATTGGACACGGGAGACAAGCACAGGGACTTCCTGGGCCTGGGTTCCAGGGAGCTGCAGGGCATGGCCGTGCAGCAGGCCTGGAGAGCAAAGGGACCAGCTGGGCAGGAATAGATGGAAAAGAGGCCTGGAGGGTGGGGGAGGAAGGGATGGATGAGAGGGAGGGAAGGATAACCTGATATGTGTCAGTAACCAGGGAGATCTGCCATCTGTCAGAGACTTTGAAAATGAAATCATGAAAGATCAATTTAAAAAGTAAAAAAACAAAAATACATTAACTCTGGGGGGAGGGGGGGGACACATATTATTCAGTAAAGAAAATAGACTATAATCTCAGCCAGAAATAACAGCTACACAATCATAATAAGAAGAACACTGAGTATTAACTTAAGTAGAAATTATAATTTAAGTATAGGGACAATGGGGAGCAAACCACAATGTGGGAGGGGAATAAGAACTGGCCTCATCTTCAGAAAAGGGAGCCCACAGCTCTCCCGGTATTAAGAAGAATGGCGGTGACAGCAGGAGAAACAGCTAAGGGCTGAAAGTGATTGTCACCAGGACAAAGAGTGTTAGGTGGGAGGAGCAGGTTATACCCTGAGGCAGAGAGAAATACAGTATGAGTCAACTATTTCAATTACATTTAGACTCTATTTTGATAAAACTTACATTAAATAAATGAATGGCAGGGGGTTTGGGCTTGCAACCTACCCCTTTAAGAAGCTCAAATATCCTAGAAAAATAAATAAACAAACTGGTCCAGACATGGAACTTTTTGTTACTTTAAGTTTGGGGAAACACTGAAGAAGTTATCATAGAGGCAGAAAGGAGATGGGGCCTCTGAAGGAGGAGTTTCCCCTGAGGAGACAGGAGGAAGGGGTCTGGGGCCTGTGTATCCAAAACAGGCCGAGGCAGACCAGCAGCCGGCTCTTCCTCGGTGATCAGGGTGGAGGATGGAGAAGAATCAACCGGCAAGGAAAGCTACTTGAGGAAAACGCATACCTGAGGTGAGAAGGCCAACACAGTGCTGGACAGTCTCTTTTTTGGGGCGGCCGAGGGAAGTGTTTGAGGAGTTACCAGAAGAAAGTGTTAACCTCAATTTGATCAAGTAAATTTGATCTTAGCGCAGGACAGACGCACGCTGTGTCTTAACTGACAGCATTTGTACTCAGTCATTCCTCTGTGCTCTCATAAAGCTTTCTAACACCACTGTCGTGTTAACACTAGTACTTTAAAGGATTGTGTTCCTACTAAACTATGAATCCTCAAGGACCACCTTGTCCATCTATATACAACCAACACTGACTCACAGTGGTGCCTGACAGGAAATGCATTTCTGTTGTACAGATATAGAAATATTGTCTTTCCGGCAGTACAAAAGCATGTCATTACACCAACACACATGTATTACCTTAAAATGTTTTTATAGGTCAGAAGTCCGTATTCAGTAATTTTACTATACATTTTTAAAAGAATACATACTGTACCCGGTCAGAGTGACTGAGTAGTTGAGCATCAACCTATACACCAGGAGATCATGGTTTGAGGTTCCTGGCCAGGCACATGCCTGGGCTGCAGGCTGTGCAGGAGGCAGCCAATCAGTGATTCTCTCTCATCACTGATGTGTCTGTCCCTCTCTCCCTCTCCCTTCCTCTCTAAAATCAATAAAAATATATTTTAAAATAATAATAATAATACATAATGTCCCTTCATAGGTAACTCCCCCCTACACAAATACTCTGATTTAAATTCAAATTTGCATCTGAAGCTGTCTCTCTAAGTACGCATGCTACCTAGACTCTGTTTTGGGCGATGCCCATACTTTGACCTCAGAAAGGCAGAGAAGGCTGCATGAACCTCTGACTACCTCATAGCTTCTAAATTAAAGCTCAGGAACATTCACAATGAGTGAAAAAGCCATAGTTGCTCTTCAATACCTGCCCAGCCTAATAAGTAATCTCAAGATTTTATGTTTTAAAATATATCAAACTTATTGATCCAGAATTTGAGCACAGTTGGTCTCTAGTAAGCACTTCCTATCATTTCTAATTTTATACTCTTTCTAAAAGGGAAATAAGTAACTATTCACTATGAATAGCACAATATTAATGCTAATTTTTAGAATTGTTTTCCTCTTCCCTGCATTTAGGCTAAAAACCAATTCCCTTGGTAACTGCCCAACACCCTTTTTACAAAACATTTCAGATCCACCCCAAATAGGTTCAGATGGGGAGAAGGGGAGTTTAAAAATAAAATAAATACATAAAAGCAAAAGCTGTGTTTACTATTAAATCTTTTGCTGAGTTTAGAGGATATTTTTGATTGCTATTCATTAAAAATGTTCTTGTCATTAACATAGTAGAAAAAATAAATTTGGAAAGTCTACATTAAATGCCAGATAATGTCAATAAATCCTAATCTTTAGTTTTACAATGCAGTAAAACAAAGAATTATAATTATCCAAATGATTTAAGCTAATCAACAATTTAGGACAAAATGCAGATTGATACACCTGTGTACACCTGTGTACACCTGTCTACAAATCCCACAAGGTGTAAGTTGACCAACTAAGATTGTTCGAGTAACATCATACAACATAAAACAACCAAACTGGCATCTTCATAACTTCATCCTTTCAAAAATAATTCCCCAAAATGCACCTTGTAACATATAAGGGTACCTGACAATAGAGCTATGTTAGTTCTACCTTTAAGGTCATGCAAGCTAAAGTAGAGTTCAACAGCCCCAAGATGACTTGAGTTTACGAGAGTATGCAGAGCATCTTCTAAAATACCTGATTTTGACTTCAGGATAACCTGAATGGTATGTCCATCATTGGTGACCTCACAGTCTCGGCAGACTACATAATTTGGCGAGAGGCGGACATCCAGCAGTGAGGGGTCATATCTGGCTTCCCTTGAATTCAGGTTAATGGGAGACTGGTACTCCCCATTCGCATCAGGAAACACCAACCCCCATTCAACACCTAAGGACAAAATGAAGCACATTTATAACAGGTTACCAAAAAAGTTACAGTAAAAGTAAACATGTTAAAGCTAGTTGAAACTGTTTATAATCCTTGACATCATTAAGAGGATTATGACTACCATCTCTATACAGATGAACTATGGTAAATGTGTGTGAGTTTTTGCATTTATACTTTGTATGATCTAATAGTCTCCAATACTACATACAAAATCCTGAACTAACAAAATATTCTGCTTGTAGTTGTCCACAAAGGGGTAGTAATTTATGATTAAGAAATTTAGGTCATCTTTAAGGGATCAGAAAAAAAGTAATACCACAAAGCTTTTCTCTGCTCATCCGTTCAGTTACGTGCGGTACTTGGGAAAAACCTGTAACTCTTTTTATTATTATTATTATTATTATTATTATTATTAGTTAAGGTATTACAAATGTGTCCACATCCCCCCCCATTAACCCCCAACCTCCCCCACACACACAAACTCATGCTCCCATCCCCCTGTTGTCCATGTCCATTGGTTTGGCTTATATACATGTATACAAGTCCTTCGGTTGATCTCTTCCCCTTACCCCCGCCCTCCCCTACTTTCCTTCTGGGGATTGATAGCCTGATCGCTGATGAAAAGGGACAGACCCAAAGACTGAGAAAAAAACCTGTAACTCTCCACACGCTTAGTGAGAACCCAAAACAATAAATCTGATGCTAGTGAATAAACACCTCTTCTCAAAAATGCAAATACCGTATGTTGAAGTGTGCATGTAAACATACCTATGTATTCACTCATATATACTCTTTCCATATTTTTATAATTAAAATTATAAACTACGCTTTTTTTTTCTTCTCAATAGATGTAGTCAACATCAGCACCAGGGGTCGGCTCCATGAAGAGACCTACATCTTCAGGGATAAATTTAGGAATCTAAACTTTTTTAAAAAGAGTCCACCCCCCTCTCGACAAGCCACTGACTCGGCCTGAAATTGAGGACGTGTCTGGCATGAGCAGAGCCTTGCTAGCATCCTTCAGGGAAAGAGTAGAGGCAGAAATACATGCTTCCCCCAGCGAACTCCTCGCAAGAAGACACGAACAGTTCCAACAACACTGTGTTCCCAAGGGGTGGAGCAAAAGGTAGCGCCGTTCCTCTTGCTACTCAGAAAACAGGATTGTCCCAGACGCAGCTGTAATGCTCGCCCTCCGGGTGGAGGCAGTGCCAACACCTGCCGGACAGTAAGGCCAGGCTTCCCAACGCGGACACAGGTGGCAGGCCCGCCCTCCACCCTGTGCCCCTGTGCCCCGAAACCGGCCGGGGGACCGGGAAAGTGACAAGGGACCCACGTGGGAAAGCGGGGACCCGGGGGTGCTGGGAGCGCGAGAGAGCTGCGGGGTGCGGAGCCGCGCGCTGGGCGGGACACACGCGGCGCGCAGCCCCCGACGCGCCGTCCAGGGACCCGGGCCACGTCCACCTGCGGCTGCGGCGGGCGGGTTACCTTCTTCGTAGCCCCACTCCACGCCCTCCTCCTCCTCCTCTTCATCCTCCTCTTTCTCCGGGAAGGCGACGGCATCTTCGATGAAGCTCAGGTCAGCCATGGGGAGCCCGTGGGTCCTCCGCGCTCTCGCTGGCGGTGCCTGCGCCCCCGCGGGGTCAGCGGGCCGAGGGGGAGCGGGAGCGTGCGGGCGCGTGGGGCGGGGCGCGCGTGGGGAGCGCGTGTGCGAGCGGGAGCGCAGGTGGACGGGCGAGAGCCTTCGGGGGAAAGGCGAGGGGTGTGGGCGCGGGTGTGGGTGGCCGCGTGGGTGTGAGCAAGCGCGTGCGACGGGCCCGGAGCGCTCCGGCGGTCAGCGCGGGGAGCGCGGCCCCAGTCTGGGCGGAGCGCGGGGGCAGCGGCGGCCCCGGGAGCCACAGCGGCGAATTATAAACCCGGCGGGGGCGTGTCTGGCACAGGAGGACCCGCCCCCTTGGCTTGGTGGCCTGTCTCGGGGCGGGGGATGCGGGGGGGGTGGGGGGCGGGAGCCGCAGGAAAAGGCCCTGGGCGACCGCGCAGAAACCTAGGAAGCCGCTGGGTCCGCTCCCTCCCCGCTCTCGCCGCCCTTCCTGAGCCTCGCGCCTGCCGTCCAAGGCCCCGTGAGTCACCCGGGGTCTGTCCTCGGGACCCCGGTGTGCAGGGCCCAGCCAGGGCCTTTCTACTCTTACTTATTTTCATCCGAACTCCAGGAACTACCAAAAGAAAGAAAGAAAGGGGGTCGGGGAGGAGAGATGGATTGCCTAGGGCAGGGGAAGAGAGAGGGCTGGGAGGGCGCGTACGCTAAAGAGCGGTCCCCCCTCGGAATCTTTATTACTGAGGATCGACTTTCTATCCGCCCTTGCAACACAGTGGAAACGAGTATGGAAAAACTTCCAAGAAATTTGTAGTTCCTAAAAAACATTTAAGAAAAAAAAGTGTTTTGTTGTTTTAATCTAGAGAAGTAAATATAATTTGGGGATATTTTCCCATTAAAAACAATACATTTCCAAGGCAAGCGTAGTGAAAGGCAATAAAGCGCATTTGTTTTTAGTTTCAGACCCTGGGGTGCTGGTGCGGACTAGCTCGCTGTGTACACAGCTCCCGGTCGCCTAATGAAATCGTGTAAATAATGAAATGCACACATTGCATAACAAACAGGAACTTTCCTGATCCAAGGAGGTGGCATTGCTACCTCCCAGCCCCCTGTTAATGACTTCAGCCCCCTGTTCCCATGCCTTTTAAACGCTTTAGCCAGCAACCCCTGAGCAGGTAACACCACTTTTTTAGACGGTATCTGTGTATAATAAACCCCGATGTGGGCCTTCAGGAAAGCTTGTTTTTATATGCGCTGTGCACTCATTAAAATGTCTGTTAGCAGTTTGGGTCGTGGGTTCCTAAATCATACCGTCCTTATGAATGCTTCATTCCTCGTATAAAGACAGAGATGCTCAGTGTGGGGATTTGGGGTTCTGTTGTCCGCTGCCTGCTCAGCCCTCCCCCTTTTTAAAGAGCCACTTCACAGGCAATTAGAAATTTCTCCAGAAAATAGATTGGGACTGAAAGGGGGGGATTCAACAATCTGCCACTTACTCGAATGTTTAGCAAAATAGGTGAAAACTATTGGTCAACTTCAGCTGTGAGGGATTTCCTGTAATTCCAGTAATTTGTCTTTCTCCTTAACACCACACCAGAAAGTCCACCATTCAGAGGACTGAGCCACAGTCTAGGAGAAACTAAATTCTTTCTTTACCAAGTGTCTTCTGGGTGTTCTTTAGTGAGTAGCCTCCCTCCTCTGCACCTTAGTGAGCCAGAGCTTGACAGAGCAGAACTCTATCCTAAAGCTATAGCTTTTTTTTATTTTTTTTCCAGAGAGAAAGGGAGAGGGAGAGAAAATCATTGATCATCTGCCTCCTGCATACCCCACACTGGGGATGGAGCCCGCAACCCAAGTATGTATCCTAACAGGGAATTGAACCTTGACCTCCTGGTTCATAGGTCAACATTCAAGCACTGAGCCACACTGGCTGGGCTAAAGCTATGGCTAGTTTAAAAAAGAAAAGAAAAGAAACACTACCCCAAATATTAACCACTTTCTTCTAAAGGAACATTTCATTTCTTTCTCCTTTCATGAAAACTTTTTCAGAATCTTGAAAGTTTTATAAACTTTCTTTTAGAAATATGTCCATGCATTCATCAAATGCTACAGCTAATGGACCTCATTGAAGGTTCCATAAAATACTTTTGCCACCCTGAGCCCATCAGCAATGTTCATTTCTCTCTGCCCCCAAATGTATGTAGATGCTACGTCATAGCCATGGTGTGACCACCAGTTGTAAAGTGTTACATGAATGATAGACATGTTTACCAAACCAGAGGACAGTAAAGTCACCATGATAAAAACTCCACTTTCCACAAGTAAATGGTGTGCCACATTTATAGCAGGTAAGCTAAAAGACTGAATTGTTAATACTGAATTTTGCCACTAACAGATAATTTCGCATATAGCCAACAACACTACCAGACAAACATGTTTATCCACATTTGTTCTTTCTGAATTTTTCAACATCATGTGTATAATGTAACTCCTCTCAAGCCTACGGTACCCTGTCCATCAACATATGAGCCATTCCACTGTACATCCAAAGATTCAATTAACAGCCTTAATTGCTTTGAGACTATATGCTTCAGATTTCTGCTAATTAACAGCACCTTAAGACCTTCTCTTCTCAGGTCCCTGTACTATATTATCACTAAAGATGGAATTTCTATTTCTAGTTATTATAAGGTATCTGCCACCATAAAACCTAAACACACAGATCAAAGATATAGGGCAATTCTTGGATTTACAAAATAGAACAAGCACACCTCAATCTAATATCAAAGAATCTAAAAATATCCATGCTCTATATTTGAACACAAGTACTCCACATACCCCTTTATATAATTTTAATGTATTTCAACCTAAGGCCATATTTGATTCCTTACATTATATTATTTACTTTTAGTGTTTGCATAACTAACACTACACATCAGTAGCACAATTCATTTTTTTTTTATTTTTATTGCTTTCAGAGAGGAAGAGAGAGGGAGAGAGAGAGACAGAAACATCAATGATGAAAGAGAGAGAGTCATTGATGCCTCCTGCATACGCCTCATTGGGATCGAGTCCACAACTCAGACATGTGCCCAAACCAGGAATATAACTGTGACTTCCTATTTCCTGGGTCGATGCTCAACCACTGAGCCAGAATGGCCAGGCAGTAGAACAATTTATTAAAACTAAGGCCTATATTGCTAATTACTATTTGATACTAAGAGAATATAAATAGAGGCACCTAAAAGGGACAGACTACCTAGATGTCAAAGGGACAAAGAGAGAAGATTGGGTCCAGCATGCCATACCCACACAACCCTCTCTAGCCAATCTTTTCTCACCAGTTGCTATCTTACCAAGCTTTCTTACTGTGTTGATGGGTTCTGGCCCTAGAACAGGCATAAATAATTATTACCTTCTTATGTGCACCTCATGATCCGGGAACACCTCAAGGATAGAGCTAACATGTGCACGTCAGATGACTTCTCACCAGATTGTAAATCTCTGAACTTCAACAACAATGAATTATGTTCCTTCATAAGCCCTCAAGGAATGCACAGTTCCCTTGGGGAGGGGTGGGAAGTAAATAATTAACAATAATAAAGGCAATATGTTCAATGGAGATGCAAGTACCATTACATCTAAAGATGATGCAACTCATATGCATGGAAACAATCCAGGATGGTTTCTTGGAAAAGATATCATTCGAGGCAAACCAAAAAGGATAAATAGGATTGGGGCCGGGGGCGGGGGGGGGGGGGGGGGGGTGTACTGAGTGAGTGGATGGCATTCCAGGCATGAGCAATGGTGCTGAATAATGGCAGTGCTTGTTGAAGACCAATTCTCTCCTCAAGTACCTCCTGTGACCTGTCAAACCCAACCCAAATTACTCAAAAACTGAGGGCTTCAATGGGCTCATGCCTGAAGTACGACACTTCTCTGGTTGGTTACTTTGTTAGCCTGATTTTTGTTTTGTCAGTAAGACCATAAAAATTTTCCTCATTATATACATTTTGATTTTTTGATGATTTCAGTCTTTTTTTTTTAAGCCAAAAAGCTCTGATTCTTTCTCTCTTTTTTTTTTTGCATGAAAGATGATGTTTATTATAATTACACTGCATCTTACCATCTGAGTAGAAATCTTGCACATGAATCTTTTGATGTAAAACAATTGCCCATCAAGACATACATATAACTGGTAAAGGTAGAGATATGAACAGAGCATAATAATATACTAACAGCAATTATATAACATTTGAAAGATTAACAGTATTCCCTTTGCCTTGCCCCTACTCTCTGGACAAGTGGAGAGTGGATGTTCAAGGTCACTGTCATTCATTTTTCACAGTCGGAGGGACCTTTGAATGATTTAACATAACCATATGGCCATACCGTTTTAAAGGACATTAACATTCCTAGTAAGCTCTTGAGAATTTTGACCCTTCTTAAGTGTCAGAGAGGAGATATTCTGCAGATAAATTAGGGTCAACTGGATGCATAATATTCCAAGTGCTTGGACTCATCTGTCTACCTCAGACCCCATGGGAGGTAATGGAGTTAATGAAATACTGTTTTCTATTATACAAGAATATTTGATAATTTGCTTAGCCTCCATCTTGGCACAGAAAGTGCTGCAAGATCTGACATTGGTGATCACAAAATTGTAATCTTCCAAACCTGTCTCCACATTTTACAAATAAGAAAACCAAGGCTCAGAGAAGTGAGATATTTGCCCCAAGTCAGCCAGCCAGTTAGTAGCAAAGCTGGGAGTAGAATTCAGGTCTTCTGACACCCAGCTTGTTAGTCTTTCTACTTTATCACGTGGAACTACATTTTTAATTGCATTTATTGGGTGATACTGGTTAACAAAATTATATAGGTTTCAGTTATACAATTCTATAATACATCATCTATATATTGCATTGTGTGTTCACCACCCCTGATTCTTTCTTTCACGTTTATTTCTTTAACAGATTAATCTTATACTTTGCTTACTTAAGTTGATCACGCCCTAATTTTATTTGAGCTCTTCTTGGTCTTTTGTCTTCAGAACCATCAGCTTTTAGTCTTAGAGTTCAGTGTAGCTGTGGCAAATTGTATTGTTTCTGTCATTCACAGCCCCTCTTTGTGATATATTATACCTCATAGTTTTGACAAAGTAAATATGGGCAGAAGTGTAGGCACCACTTCCTAATAGAAGCCTTAGCTGCTATCGTGTGGTTGCACCATCATTGTTGTCCCTTGGCCCCAAAATTACCCAGTCCACGAAAGGCACTGTTCCTTCAGTCGGG